ATATGTCAGACTAACAAAGACGTTGACGGTTCCACTCTCGTCGTACCTGCAAAGTGCAAACATTCCTATTTGACCATTGATTCGTCCCTATTTAAAGGTAAATTGAGTGAAATTATTGTTGTGACTTTAATTAATTAATTTTTTATTTAAGAAAACCCAATTAAATTAGTATAGGTAGTTAACTCAAAGAAAAAAGATTAATAGATAATTTTGAAGAATGAAATTTGCAATCTTGCGATTACCAAGAACAATTTAGGTGGATTATTCTGTTTGAATGTATAATCTTAATACGTACATATTGGTATGTCTAATCTTAAAAGTTCATGATCTTTTGTATTATTATTGTCAGTCTTGTAGCTCATTTATCTAGTTCGTCTGAGTACCCAGTTCAAACAATCTCATAGCCTTTTGGTGTTATTGCTCGTCTAGTGTACAATATTTTACATATAATACATTTATTTAATTCGTCTTGACAACTTACAATCTTTTAGTGTTGTCATATGTCTAATATATTATCTAGTTATGTATAATTCATTTATCTAGTGCTTCTGAATGTTAAGTTGCGATAACGAATGATGAATCTTTTGTAATTTCATGTCATTAATTGATTAGATTCAATTGAAATATTAAATCACATTTAAAAATTAGATAAAAAGGAATGAGATTTTAGTTTTTTGAAGAATATATTTATAGCAAGAATGATGTTTAGCTGGCTTAATCATTCTCCATTAGTTACTATATATTATTTATATGCCAACCATTGTTGTTGCAGTCACTCACTCACTCACGCAGTGTCTTGAAATCCATAAAGCAGAATATTGTATGTGTCTCGCACAGCCGCCACGCCTGTCCCGCCACCGCCACCGTCGCTCCTCCTCGAGATTGCTGCCGCAAACATCCCCACAACGGAAAAACCGAAAAAGTTTTGGTTTTTGCGAACTCTCATATATATACGTACCCACACTATCACTTTCACCTTATAGAATATATGTAGAGTAAGAGTAGAGTCCCACACTGATTGCATGTGCATCTCAGTCTGCGATATTCTCTGACTCACCCAGAAAAGATGACAAAAGTGGCGTAGGAACAAGAAAGCATCAGCTGAAGATACGAACAAACAAAAAGCTTTCTAAGGGTACGTGAAAGAAAGAAAGAAAGGCCATCCATTTCTGCTGCTAGTGATGGAGGAGAGGCCGGAGACGGAGCTGATATCGATACCGGCGACGCCGCGGGCGTCGACGCCGGAGATACTGACGCCGTCGGGGCAGAGGTCACCTCGGGCACAGACGTCGACGGGGGCGTCGAAGGAGGCGAAGTCATGGACGCCGACTTCGTTCATTTCGCCTCGGTTCTTGAGCCCGATTGGAACGCCGATGAAAAGGGTGCTGATAAACATGAAGGGTTACTTGGAGGAGGTGGGGCATCTCACCAAGCTCAACCCCCAAGACGCATGGCTTCCCATCACCGAGTCCCGGAATGGGAATGCTTACTATGCTGCTTTCCATAATCTCAATGCTGGTGTTGGCTTCCAAGCTTTGATCTTGCCAGTTGCTTTCTCTTTTCTTGGATGGTATATCTTAGCTTCTTCAATTCTCTGCCCTCAATCTCTATTAATCATTTACTTTGCTTTCTCTTACCTTGTGCCTGTCTGCAAATCTGCAACCTTAACTTATATCCACTGTTTCTGTTTGCTTACCACTTAGCTAGCATCAAAGATTGCCATTGAGTTATTATGATTTACTACGATTTTTTAGTCCACTATCGTGTTAGGTCAGGGTGTGGGGCTCTGGGGGCTGGACAAGAGAATTTCGCCATTGTGGGCAAAGTTTGTTGTCTCTTTCTTTCCCTCTGGACCACCCTCTACCTCATTGGCTGGTGGGACTACCCAATTAAATGTTTTGTATCATTGTAGATTTCTTTTCTGACTGCTTTATCCAACTTTCATCATAGATTTGACAAGAATAATGATCCCTAAGGCATTCATTTTCTCATTTGCTTTTTTCTTTCAAATGGGTCTAGCCTTGTTTTTGTTTTCATCATCTTTTGAAACAGTTGATAGTGGCATTGTGCTTGACTGGTTTTTGGGTTGTCATTGGCTATTATTAGCTTTAATTCTCTTTTTACTCATTAGCTCCATTGCAATGAGCCAGTTTGTATGCTTTATCCCCTTTGACTGTTCAAGAAGTAGAGAGTAGAAGCTTAAGTGTGATCTTGATAAGTACAGATGAGTAAACTAATGCCGCTTTTTGTCCATCAAGTATTGTGAGAATAGAGATTAGTCCATTAACTTCAATGGTTGGGCACTTTTAGCCTCGGATCATAATTTAGAATGATAGCAGGCAATCAAACTTATGTTGGAAATATGGGTTTTAATTGCCAATTTATGGCGTGTTGATAATTGTCTACCTGGCTTATTTTGATATCAATATACCCAAAAGTACAAGAAAAACGATCTTCTTGTCTTCTAAATACAGGAGTTGGGGAATAATTTCGTTAACTATTGCCTATGTCTGGCAACTCTACACGCTATGGATTCTAGTTCAACTTCACGAAGCAGTTCCCGGGAAGAGATATAATAGATATGTAGAACTTGCAGAGGCTGCATTCGGTGAGAGTGTATCTATACTACTTCCTTGTTTCGACTAGCTTATCTGGAAATTACGTTTTCAATAAGGTTTTACTTGGGCTTTTCAGGAGAAAGGTTGGGCGTTTGGCTGGCTCTCTTCCCTACGGTGTACCTATCAGCTGGAACGGGAACAGCTTTGATTCTCATAGGAGGGGAAACCATGAAGCTGTTCTTTCAAATTGTGTGTGGTCCGCTCTGTTCATCGAATCCTTTAACGACTGTCGAATGGTATCTGGTTTTCACTTCTCTCTGTATTGTTCTATCACAACTCCCGAACCTCAACTCCATTGCAGGGCTGTCACTCGTGGGAGCGGTGACTGCCATCATTTACTCGACCTTGACATGGATCCTCTCTGTAAGCCAACCTAGACCACCGCCAATCTCGTATGAGCCTATTTCGTTGCCTACCCCTACAGCTTCTCTCTTTTCGGTCCTGAATGCACTTGGGATAGTGGCATTTGCGTTTAGAGGACACAATTTAGTGTTGGAAATTCAGGTACATATATATCAATTTCTCGGGATAGTTTCTTGTCATCTTTGAAGCTAAGAATTGAAGCATATGCTCCATCTAAAGTAAAAGTCTAAGCTGATAGTTGGATTGCACATTTATGTTTATGTTATATTATATGCTCAACACTAAGCTAGACGACTCGTTTCTTTTGTGGGCAATGTAGGCCACGATGCCATCAACCTTCAAGCACCCAGCTCATGTGCCAATGTGGAAGGGAGCAAAGGTTGCGTATTTCTTTATTGCATTGTGCCTGTTCCCTATTGCCATTGGAGGTTTCTGGGCTTATGGAAACCTTGTAAGTATTCCCATTTCCCTGGTTTCTGTTAAGAGTCCACATTGATAAAATAAGAGAGAACATATGGGTTTATAAGGCCATGAGTTAGACTAACATTTCTTGTAGATGCCTTCAAGTGGGATTCTGAGCGCGCTGTTTCAGTTTCACATTCACGATGTCCCAAGAGGTCTTTTGGCAATGGCGTTTCTCCTAGTCGTGTTCAGTTGCCTGAGTAGCTTCCAGATATACTCCATGCCTGGATTCGACAGCTTTGAAGCGGGCTACAGCAGCCGCACAAACAGGCCATGCCCCATATGGGTTCGGTCTGGCTTCCGAGTGTTCTATGGCTTCTTTTCATTCTTCATAGGCGTCGCACTCCCTTTCCTGTCGAGCTTCGCGGGGCTGCTAGGAGGACTCACGCTCCCAGTAACCTTCGCTTACCCATGCTTCATGTGGGCGCTTATAAAGAAGCCAACCAAGTACAGCTTTAGCTGGTACTTCCACTGGACCCTCGGTTGGCTGGGCATCGCCTTCAGCTTTGCCTTCACCATTGGAGGTATTTGGAGCATGGTGTATAATGGATTGAAGCTCAAGTTCTTTAAGCCTAGCTAGCTCAAATTAAACCTGGAAATGGGGTTTATTAGCAGTGTGAAATTTTCAAGAATATGGCTTGTTAATCTATGGTTTTATTTTATAGCTATCTTGGTAGGTAAAAATGTTGAGGGTAGTAGGAGTGTATGTGTGCATTTACTTGGATACTGCTTAAGTTCTTTTGATTGGATCTTGAATGCATATTTACCTTATTCTCATGCTTTTTTTGGAGTTAAATTCTTATTTGGGTTCAACTCAAAGGAACAAATCATTAGCATATCCTTATAGGATTGAAGTCGGTTAGACAGAATCTACCCACTTTGAACATAATTTCCACACTATCACTGTTGTCGAGATTCGAACTTTAGTCTCTTATCCTAAATACTGTCCACTAAACCAGTGAGCTAAGCCTGCACCGGTCTTTATGTATTACTCTGTTCATACTTTTGAATAACGGCAGCAGAATTTCATAATAATTCAAATAATAATAATATTGTGGGAATCCGAAACAAGACAAAAGAGCATCAACCTCAATGCAGGGAATTAAAAGTTGAAGGAGAAAACAGCAGAAATCAAGGTGTTTTTATAGGGGTACAAGTACAACCCCCCTTCCATTTAGGCTACGTTCTAGTTACATTGCATTCATTGCATTGCACCAAATCTTTCAATTCTTTGATTGACAGCCCAAAACTCCATTCACAATCACATTGCACATGCCATGCATTCAATTTGCAGGATAAGGGCGGTGACCAAGTTGAACCCACTACTACATTTGGTCTCATCATATCATCTACTCCACATGTGTTTTGATTTATATATGGTTTTTGAAAATTTTGGTCAAAATTAAGAATCACGACAAAAAATAAGGGCATAATCACCATATTGCTGTTCTAAATGTTTGAACTTTGGTCTTTTTTTTCAAATAATGTCTACTGAATCTGTGACCTAAGCCAGTGACGATATTGATATTTACTTTTGAAATTACTAATATCTCTTAATTGCATATTTGCATGAGTTGTACACTGATGGTTTGTCATAATTTGACTAAAGGGAAACATGGTCCAACAATATGATTAAGCAAATAATTAACCTTCCAAATTCTATGTTTAGTTCTTGATTGTGTTCAAGGTTTCCTCCCCGGTGCAGAAATGGAGAGCTCCGGCCAACCATAACAGTCGTCGCCGCCATCGGAAAGCCCTCCACCAATCTGCCACGCGTCGTCGTCGTTCCAGCTTGTAGCAGCCACGCCTCCGTTGACGTTAGCAGCTTCACCGCCATTGCCTCCGACAACTGGTTCGGCGGGCCAGTCGCAGAGCCCGAGCCCGAAGTCGAACTCGTCATGCAGCCCGCTCGGTTCTAGCCCGAGCCCGTACTCACCCAATGGGGAAAACTCAACGCCGCCGCCTCCCACCGGGGCAAAACTCTCAGTCTCCGACTCCGGCACTGCCTTGTTCAGATTCACCTCACGACCCGACCCGGGACTAATTCCAACCATCACGGGTGCCGGGGAACGGGCTGATCGAGCCGCGGCCGCCGCGACGGCGACAGTACGAGAGCGTTTTTTGGAGGGAGGCTTGCGGGTGGCGCCGCCGACGGGTACGTTCCGGAGGGCTCCGCCGCGGGTCCAGTAACGGCGGCAGGACTTGCAGAAGTGGCGGGGCTGACAGAGATTGTAGTTGTTGTAGTAGCAGAATTTGGTGTTGGTGGAGTCGCAACGTGGGCACGCCAAGTTCTTCTCCGCCGCCGCCTCCACTCCTCGAACTCTCGCCGGCCGTCTCTCTCCGCCGTCAGAAGACATTCCTCCCTGCTTCAGTTTGTTGGTTTCAGGTGGAAACAGCAAAAGAAGTTGAGAACAAAAGAGCAGAGTAAGTCTAAACGGGACAAATTTCGTTTTTTTGGAAAGTGGTTATATATATATATATAGAGAGAGAAATTTGAATATTAACATTTCACTTATTATTATTTAGAGTACATAGTAAAAAACCCAACTTTTATAGATTTCATTGTAATACGGAGTAACATCTACTTTTAGTAAATATAAAGTATTATTATGGATGACCACAACCGAGTTAATTAGACCATTGATTTTGTAATCATAAGAGTATGAGTTTATTTTCTAGTTTGAGCGATTTATTAGGTCTTTACCGGCTAAGATCACAAGGTCCGTGCACAAGAAATGCGATGTACGTGCAAGTAGTGTTTTCCATATAAAGTGTTATACAAGAGATGCTATATTGACAAGCTTTATCTCTGGACTCGTGTTATACAAGAGATGCTATAATAACACGTTTGGTTCATGGAATAGATCGATGATATAATAACAATCATGACAATATGCTTATTACATTATTTGTTTTTGATATTTTATTTTCGAAAATAATATTTGGGAATGAGTTAATCCATTTGTAACGGGAAAGTCATTCTTAAGGCACTGATCCCAAGTCTTAGCTAAGTTTTTTTTTTTTTTTTAATAATACCAAAAACACTATTTTGAATTTAAAGTTCAAGAAATATAATCTCACACTAATTTAGAGTGAGTTTCAGAGGGATTTGGGGGTGGATTCATCAAATGTAGTTCAAATTACCATAGGACCCCAAAAAGTCCATTTTAGATATTCAAATATTTATACCTTCACTAATTTATTAGAAGTATTTATATAGTCTCACGAAAATATTACTCCGTATTAATTATTACTTGAGAAAATTGAGTGGAAATTTTATTAAAATTTTAACTTTAATGATAGACATATTTGATTTTTAATGGCTGAGAAAATATAGAGATATAATATTGAGTAACATAAGATATATATCATACATCAAGGTTTATATCATCAGATAAAAAAAAATACTTAGTATTGTTTACCAAACACCCCTATCTGAAAATTATAAGGATATTTGGTAAATAGTTATTAACTTATTACAGTAGTAAATTTAACTAGTTGCTAATATTAGATGATTGTAAAAAAAGTATTTGACAAATTAACTATTAGCTAATTACATGCAAAGTAAATTTTTCAAAAAGCATATCGAAAAAACTACTATGAACAATTTTTTAAATTTTAGCAATTTGAAGCAATAAATAATTATAAAAAGCTAATTAATCAAACACTTATCTAACAGTTTAACCAAATCAAACAGTTAATAGTGATAAAATAAGTCAAAATTGACTGATAAGCTAATTATGTTACCAAACAGAGCCTAAATTATTTGGAAGGAAAAACACTAGGGAAGGAGAAAACGGATGTGAAATTAAAAAGTTCAACCTTGAAAATTTTACAGCGTCTCATAGTTCTGCTCCAAGAAAAAACCTCGCTACGCTACTAACTGGAGAATCAATCAAAAGTGAAAGCCCCTACAATTCAAGCATCGAGTCCAATATACCTTATAATTGGAGGACCAAGAGCTTCACTTTCCCTTAACATTTCAACACCTTTTTCTTCGAAATCAATTTCTTGGCTTTATGTTTGCCATTAGAGGATGAAGTTTATAGGCAGTAAGACCCACAGTAGCAACATTTTCTTCTTCACTACCCGTCAGCCTCCATTCAAATTCTTGAACCATTCTCGCGATCGTCAGGCAAGAAATCGTCATCGCCTGGAGAGCACCAGCACACGACCTCTTCCCCGCTCCAAACGCCATCGTCTTGAACAAATCGTTCTGCTCATACCTCCCTTCGAGAAATCGTTCGGGCTTCCACTCTGTAGGACTCTCCCATACCCCCTTTTCCATGTTGCATGCATGAATGTTCACAGCAATCTAGGAAAAAGGTAGCAGCCCACAGTTAAAAACTTTAAACCGCCTATCAAAAATTTCAAGGGTGTGTGAATTGTGATACTAGGTATTAGGTAATTACCTCGGTTCCTTTAGGAATATAGTACCCTCCCAGTTCGATATCCTCGTGAACATATCGGAGAGGAACAATAGGAACGGGACCATGTTTTCTCAATGTTTCATGAAATATAGCAGAAAGGTAGGGGAGTTGTCGCACTTTGTCTTCTGTTACTTTACCACCCCCACAGACACCTTGAATTTCACGAAATAATCTATCCTGTGTAGTTGAAAACGAAACTATCAGATACGTTCGTTATAAACATACTTTATGGGGAAAAAATGGCAAACAAAAACAACCTGTCGTTCTGGATCTTTAGCTAGTTCATACATAGCCCATTCTGTAGTCACAACAGTTGTGTCCGATGTTTCAATAATTTCCTCCCACACACTCATCTGAAGTTGTTTCTCAGTTAATGTCTGTTCTTCAGACACCAAATAGTCGAGCATGGAGTTTATTGCCTGTCACCAAGTTTAACCATCGAAACTAGCAGTTAAAGCAGTTGCAAATTGTAAATTACTAATGTTCATATGATAATATGCTAATGTTTAAGTGTTTATGTTCTCGAACATTAGTGTATGCAAGTATTAGCCAGATAGAGTACCGTCCCAGACTCGATACGTTCTCTCTGTTCCTTTATGAGTGCCCTCATTACTGCATCCCTGTTATATTGTATTTGCTTGATCCTCTTGTCGAAGCTCGGGTTAGGAATCCAGCTGAGATATGGGAAGAAATCTCGCCAATCAACGTCAATAGCACCCTCCATAAGGTCAGATACTAGATACTTGAGCATCTTCTCCCTCGACAAAGTGGATCCAAGCTCTTTAACATATACAGACTCTACGTCTTCTCCAATTCCCTGCAAATTCATTTAGGCGTTCTTTTAATAAACACAGGGTAGCTGGTAAGGCTATATCAGAACTCGGGAAATTAAAGGGACTTTGAATAACTCACTTGCTTCAGTGCCAATCTGAAAAGTTCAGACTGAAAATATTCCCTAAAGTTTACTGCTTTCTCAGGATACTTCTCGAGGACAGCATTCAATTCATTACAAACATTTTCTATCAATACGTCCCTGTGGACACGATGTTGTTTCTGGAAGTACAAAAATAAGAAGTTCCGTTTAAATTTCTTAACAAACAAATTAGAAATCGAGAATCGTTAGTTCTGTGATCTGAAGCAAATACCTGAGCATTTGCTCCCAAAACGCTGGCCAATATATTCCGCTTTACTGTCTTATGAAAGTCACCATAATCACTCATTGCAACCATACTTTTATCATGAGTGAGAATACTTAGGGACTTGGAGAGATTTCTTGTTGAGATTGATGAATATTTGTCTACCATAGCCTAAAACAGACATGCACAACACTTTATAGGTTCACCTCTTGTAACAAAAAAGATTCAATCTTTACATAGCCCATCATATATAAAGTATAATTTTGTGATTAATATGCCAAATTATGGGGAAAAAAAAAGACATTATCAATGAGGATAAAAAAGGAAACTACAAGTCAACAGAGGGACAATGAAGAATATCCATTCAAATCGAAGGGCGGCCATAAATTTAACACATAAAAAAGTTATTCAATTTTGATATCACATCTGAAATCCACATGAGTTTACTCCCAAGAGGATAAGAAAGTGACACAACAGAAAACATCTGATTCATGAATCTTTACATGCATGGTATAGCCAAGTTCAAAGCCCCAATATGACATGTCAAAATCAACAATTAAGAAAGCATGAACCCATTGCAGTCAATTATCCATAGAGCCAAAGTCCAGGCAAATTTATAGCAGATTGTCTCAGACCAAAAAGCAGCCAAGACACTGGGTCGATCATTTTCACACAAGACAACTTTAATTGAAAAAATTAAATTCTGGGTAGTAACAAAACCAAAGAACAAGATTCCCCATAGAGGAGGAAGATAAAGGGTACCTCCTTTGCAAGATCAGTGGAGTTAAGAACAACCATGGTGGTAGCCCCAGCCTTGACAGAATAGATTGGTCCATATTTGTCAACCCAGCCTAGAAATGTCTTGTGGGGTTTCTTCTCTTTGAGCTGGAGTATATTCCCAAGAACTGGTACCCCTGGTATAGCTGCACAAATCCACCAAAACCCCCTCACAAATCAACAAAAAAGATTCAACCTTTAACCACCTAGACAGATTATAAAACAACAAAAACAAGAAAAAAAAAAAAAAAGGAAAGCTAGTAAACTACGTACCTGGAACTGGGCGGAGGTGTTTGGGTCTCTTCTTTTGATCATTCAAAAGCCTGGGGGAAATCACGCCGAGAGCAACAACCAAACCGCCGGCGGTGATCACACTCCCCAGTGGCCAATATTGAACAGTTTGGATGACTGCCTCCATGGAACCACACTCTGATCTTTTTCTTTCACTGCCTCTTCTTCTCCCACCGCCCCGTTTGGTTCTTTCGTATGCTTTTTGGTTTTCCTTTTAACCGATTTTATAGAGGATGTTGGGAGTCGGGATGGACTTATGGAGTGGCAGGGACACACTGTAATAAAACAATTACTCCGTAATTAAGATACTTTACTAGGCTACTAGCTTGGGTTTTGGTCCATCAACCTAAAATTTTGTTCCAGTGCATGATAGTATGTGATTCAAATTTCACTGGGAACAGAAAATCATTGAAAGAATTTGACCGAGGCGAGGCGAGGCGATGACACACATTTTACTGGGAACATCAGAATTACTGAAAAACCTTCATTAATGTCATCAAGATTTTTGTGAGCGAGATTTACCTCATTTAGTGATTTTTGGATTAAACTTTTAAGCTTAAAAATGTAGTTTATTGTAAACTTGAGAAATTAATGAATAAAAAAAGTTAAAAACCAAATTTTTTTTATTTAAAAAAAAAAAGGATCTTTGTTGGGTGAGGGACAATGATGCCGCAGAAGCTAGCCAACGATGAAGACGAATGTTCGGCTATCGTGTCGTAAGGCTGTATTATAGTCTGGGATTGAAAAGACTGTAACACTGCATTTCTTAATTACTTCACAACTGATCTTATCGATGCCCAATCATTTTTCTTTTCTTTATTACATCTGCTAAAGATCGAATCTTTAAATGCTATACACCAGTATACAAAACGACAAACCTATTATTATTATTATGAAAGTGTATATTTGAAATTATAAGATTTTGTATATTAGTGTTGAAATTGATTACTTAAAATTTATATTATGAAACGTCTAAATAAAAAATAGAAGGAAGAGCATGGCTAATTGATATTATTTTAAGTAACAAAAATATACTATAATCAAATGAAGTGAATTTTTATGTTTGATTATCATAGTAATATTAAAGTGTTAAATAAGGATTGACAATATAGATGTAATATGTGTATGTTTAATTTCCTTTAATTATGGGCGTAATGTGTATATGTTTATTTTGCTTTAATTACCCACCGTAATATGTGTATGTTTAATTTCCTATATGAGCATGAAAATTTATCAATTATTTTCAATAAAAATGAGATAGTTTTATTATGATTACTATATTATGGTAATTAAGGAGTATATATTATTCTTATTCAATATTATGCTAATTATGGCGTCCATGTAATATGAATAATTATGGTAATTAAGAATATATTATTCTTAATAAAATAATATGTGTATGTTTAATTATGTAATTATGGACGTAATATCTGTATGTTTAATTTTTTTTAATTATGTTCGTAATATATGTATTTTTAATTTTCTTTAATTATGTCCGTAATATATGTACCATTAATTTTCTTAATTGGTTAGATAAAATCTATATTACAGCAAGTACAAAAAATTGTTTAATAAAAGTATAATGTGTGAATTAATTTCTTAATTAGCATAATTCTTAAGAGTTTATTCAAAAGTAACCGTGTGTCTGAATTAGTGAGATCAATAATTTTATTAAAATGCCCCTGATAAGCATATTATGATAATAATATTTAAACTTACTAATAAAAAAAATAAAAAAGTACATCATGTTTTACAATCATTATTGTGTGGATCATATTTTGTATATTGTAAAATAATGTACATTCGGTACAAAAATAATATACATTGTATCCAGGGGATGTACATTATTTTTGTTATGAGTGTACATTATATTGTATAATGTACATTCAGTACAAAAATAATATACATTTGAGAAAATTACCGATTTGGTCCCCCCGACTATGAAGATTTCACCAATTTGGTCCTCGATTTTCAAAATTCTTCAATTTCGTCCTCGACTATGTCATTTTTACTCGATTTGGTCCTAAAGCGGCATAGTTGAGGACCAAATTGGGTAAAAATGGCATAGTCGAGGACGAAATTGAGGGATTTTGAAAGTCGAGGATCAAATTGGTGAAATCCTCATAGCCGTGGGACCAAATCGGTAATTATCTCTATACATTTAGTATATTAAAATGTACTTTTTGTTATGGTCCACATAACATTGTATGGACCATGGTCCACATAACATTGTATGGACCATGGTCCACACAATAATTTGTCCATGTTTTCAACAAGTGAAAATTTTCAAATATTATTGCAACATTAAAAATAAATAAATAAATAAGACCCACATAAGATTGCAATTTTACCGGGTTGAATGAAGTCCAAGAAAATGATATTCCCTCATTTTATTTGTCATGTTTACTATTTATTGGTGAAATCAACGCTTCATTATTTACTTATTTTCTTTATTATTTTTAATTTAATTTTTTTTTGTTTAATATTACTTTTAATATAATTAATTTTCAAAAAGTAACTTTTATATACTTATATTATATTTAATATTTTGAAAAATAAAATTATAAATAATTCCAGACAAGTATCGTTAACCAACTCGACACATAATATGTGACGGGTGAGTATATGGACTATCGAGAGTAAAACTTCTACCTAGTCTCATAATATTATTAATCGAGATAAATAGAGAAATAAAATTTGTAGCTCACTGTTTTTTTTTTTCTAGATGAATCATATCATGCTATGTATGTAAAAAGTAATTACATCCGATAGCATATGTCCTGAAATGGGTAATTGAGTAAGTAAAGTACTTTGTATAACTTTTGTACTAAAAGATCATAATTTTTATTCTTACAAAAATCATCTCCATTTTTTAGTGTGATTCCCTTGTAACCCAAAAACTAGTAGCACATATATTATATATACGGCTGAAGTGTCATCTCGCACCATGAACCATTTCTGATTATTCATGTCGCACCTTAATTTTTCAAAACGTATATTTAGATCCATAAACCATTATTTTTTTTTTCGCCTAGAATTTTTTTTATGTACAATATTAATAATCAGAAATAGTTAGTTCATGGTGCAGGATGACACTTTAGCCTATATATAGTCTTACCAAAATATAATATCAAGCAATGACACACATAATGGACTAGATAATGTTATGGGGTCCAATTCCATTTGTCTAGATATACGACCTCTAGTTTTGTTATATTTCATTGTAATAATTCATAATTATTGGCGGTTACTCTAATTTCACAAACAGGTTAATGATAGAAGTTCATCTTTCATTAAAAATCTATTCCCAATTTTGGAAGAGTTGAGTATATGTCATTGTAACAGGCCAGGTTGGCAAATTGGCATTATAATTGTAGTATACCAATTTAGCCCGTATTAAGCCCAGCCCATACAATTACATATTATAGTTGAAGTGGTCCGTTTATATGAGAAACAATTATTTTTAATATATTTCACAGTTATATTCTAGAAATCATTTTTCAATAATTTTAATTGGACCAAATAAATAAATAAATACTTAATAAAATGGTTTAATCCACAAATTTGACACTACAAACAATTTCAGTACTACTATTAGGATAGTTATATATGATCAAAATCAAATAAATCATCCATCCTTAAACAAAATATAGTAGATTGTTTGGAATTTTTGGATAACCTGACCAACTTGATTAAAGTTGTCCCGTCAAATATAATTTATGTAGCCAGAATATATTCAAATAATATAGGTATTTTTTTATTAATATAAAATTTGGTTGTAATGATTAGTTGTGTAGATTAAAGCATGATGTTAATGGGGTTTTATTATAATAGTAAAGTAATTAATAAAGGTTGTGTCCACTAGCAACGTTAGTAATGGAGTTTGCATGAAAAGGAGGTTGAGGAAAAGGACGTGGACATGGACTACCAACATAACATTTGCATGGCATGTTTACAACATATACAAAACCACTTATACTTGTATGCAACCCAAAAGCATATTTCGATTTGTATTTATTCTTTGCCCCCACTTGTCTCTATCACCTCGATATTCATGAAACTCTTTAATTTTAATTTGCCATTTAAATATACACTATTCGTATTTATAATTTAAAAATGAAAATAACTTTTTTTTTTTTTCTTTACAACTGAAATTTTTTGATTCAAAACTCGAAACTTGAACTCCATTCACCGTTTATACCTTAGCGATTAATGGATGAGTAAATCACACAATATATTTCAAATGGTATTTTTAGTCTTTGATAAGACTCGATTCGTGCAACATACGGTTGCTAACAAAGTAAAAAACATTTCAACTTATTTTGAATTGGTTTACAAATTGAGTTTCATGTAAATATAAAAACACGAAGAATTCGAATCAAAGTAAAACATTTCCAGCTTATTTTGGATTGGTTTACCAGTTGAGTTTCATGCAAGTATACAAACATCACATATTTTCTAGGTCAATTGTAACTTATTGACGTGATGAGATTAAAATATTATCTTACTTTTTAACCATTTGGATAAATTTCGCATTGTGATCCTAGCCGGCAAATGATCACTAAGAATCAAACTTGGAACATTGTGATTACTAAACCAATAATATAAATAAATTGAGTAAGTTGCCCTAGCTATTTTTTTTTTTCAATTAATTACGCTTAAATTAATTTATTTTTCATAAAAATGTGTCAACTCAACTATTTAGTTATGGGGTTGTGGACAAATTAAAGCCATGGTGTTAAAGCAGGGATAGTGTAATGAGGGACAAGGATCATCCTCAAAATATAATTTGTTACAGATATCCTATATATGCATTAGGATTTTGTCGGAAGACCGCATTATTATATTGTTAGGCAACGTTATCATCATTTTAGGTACGACTGCTTCTGCATGGCCCTCCCCACACAAATTTTCAATATTCCATCCATCAAAATCTTCTCTAAATTAATAATCTATATATATGATATTAGTAATTAATTAATTAGCTAATTAATAGCATCTATCAGAGTTGACTCCAACACTTTTTTTAAATCTTGGTTGGTCAGTGCTACGACAGCTTATTTGCCAGATAATGCACTTACACATATTACTATACACCCATTTTAATATCCAAATTTGTCTAGAATATTGTTTATATGTGGCAATAATTATGGATTTGTATACAACTCTAGTCAAGTTAATTAAATAACTCGATTGGTAATTAAAATGTTTCAACTCCAGTTGAAAACTCGACTACCCAGATTTGGGTTGCCTTATCCGTGACCGGCTGGTTATTTTTTTGTCTGAAAATATATCGGAAAGTGACTGGATCTGTAATGACCTATGATAGTGGGTCATTTACTTGTATTTAGGCTTCATTGCATCAAAATGCAATGTTCATTGGTGTAATTGTTTCTTTAAAAAGTTAGAAATGCTAATTAACTTTTGAACAATAGTTTAAGGGCTTATTTGATCATTTTCTCCAATTATAATAGAAATAGTTAAGAGATTAGAAATTTATAAAATTTGAAGAATTTAATGATGGTGGTCCATGGTCTAGCTAGGGGTAGGCGGTGTAGTTAAACTGCGGTGGACCATAGCATTGACTGTTATATGCATATTTCTGAAATTTCAACTGTGTGTGGTCCATAGCAGTGAGCAAAGGGTGAGCGAGAAGGGAACAGAGGCGTCTAATTATACCAAACAAAAAAGAGGGGAGAAAAGAAGCAATCAATGCAGACATGCATGGAAAACGGATTGACCAAATCACCACTCAGTAAACGAGTTTCTTGCCCTTCAACTTTATTTGCTTCACACATCTCATCTCTTCTTCTTCCTCTACTGTTCAGCCATTATTAGTCTTCTGGGTAGTTGCAGCGGTTTTTTGCAGTGTTTATTTCGACGAGATTCTCATTTTTTTTTTTAAATTTGGGTGTTGGGTTTCTGTCATTTTTTTTGTTTTTTTCAGTCTATTTTGTGGGTTGGCAAATTTGAATTTGCATTGCAAATTCTTGACCTTTTTCGCACTGGGTATCATATGACAGCTTTAGTTTTCTTTTTTTGGTTACTCATCTCTTCTGTTTAATGATGATGAGATGAAGATAATGGCTTCATTTTCTGAAACTATTGCCAGTCTCAGCTATTACTTTTAAAAAAGAAAAAAAGAAAAAATTGAATTCTTGAAATTTTACTGTGGAGTGGCTCAAGATTGGTGCTTTATTGGGTGGCTTTGAATCTGCGGCTGGAATCTTTGATGGGGTAGAGACATTGGGGATTCTTTGGAGTTTGAATTGTGGGGAGGCTAAAGCTAGGGTTTTGGTGTCTTTAATGGCAAAGGTTTGTTCCAAATCAGATGTCTTTGCTTATCTTTACCTTTTCTGCTCTTTTAGACCAAGTCTTGATGGAGAATTTTGATTTGGTCATATTTCAGGTTTGAAAACAAGCTGTGAAGCAGCATTCAGAAATTCAAATTTGAAATGCATCTTTCACTATGGAAACCCCTGTCCAAATGTGCAGCCATAATTTTGGACAGGAAGAAGATGAAGAAAGGGGATGATTCTGGGTCAGCTCAGCTCTCAAAGCCAAGGCCTTCTTCAATTCTGAGGCAATTGCAGGAGGCCAGAATCAGGGAGGCTCTTGAAGATGCCTCTGAGAATGGGTCACTGGCAAAATCTCAGGACATTGATGATGAAGAGCCATCAGAAAATGGCAACTTTGGGAGGTCAAGGTCTCTGGCTAGGCTGAATGCTCAGAAGGAATTCTTGCTAGCCACTGCTCTTGCAGCCAACAGGACCTTCTGCACTGAAGAAGCCATTCCTGATTATCAAGAAGCTTTCAATAAGTTCCTGATTATGTACCCCAAGTTCCAGTCTTCAGAAAGGATTGATCAGCTGAGATTGAATGAGTATAGTCACCTCTCCGATTCTGATGCTAAGGTATGCCTTGATTACTGCGGCTTTGGCTTGTTTTCGTATTACCAAACTCTTCATTTCTGGAATACATCTGCATTTAGCTTAAAAGAAATCACTGCAAATCTGAACAATCAAGCCTTACATGGAGGCGCTGAAGAGGGCACTGTGGAGCATGATATTAAAGTAAGGATTATGGATTATTTGCACATTCCTGAGAACGAGTATGCTCTCGTGTTTACTGTTAGTAGAGGGTCTGCGTTTAAATTGCTTGCTGAATTTTACCCTTTCCACACAAATAAGCGGTTGTTGACTATGTTCGATCACGAGAGCCAATCCGTGAATTGGATGGCGCAATGCGCCAAAGAGAAAGGCGCCAAGGTTGGCAGTGCCTGGTTCAAATGGCCATCGTTGAAGCCTTGCTCTAGGGAGCTGAGGAAGCAGATATCGGTCAAGAAAAAGCGAAAAAAGGTTTCTGCAGTTGGGCTTTTTGCTTTTCCCGTTCAGTCTAGGGTTACGGGTGCTAAGTATTCTTACCAGTGGATGGCTTTGGCACAGCAACACAATTGGCATGTGCTGCTGGATGCTGGTTCGTTAGGTCCCAAGGACATGGATTCGCTCGGTTTGTCCCTTTTTAGGCCGGATTTCATAATCACGTCGTTTTATAAGATCTTCGGTTCTGACCCTACGGGGTTTGGATGCCTTCTAATTAAGAAATCTGTTATGACAGCCCTACAGAACCAGCCTGGCCGTACTGGAACTGGTATGGTTAGGATTGTTCCCGAGTTTCCTCAATACCTAGGCGATTCTTTAGATGGTTTGGATGGATTGGTGGAATTCGAAGAAGGAACAGATAACGGGAACGATGAATTGGTGATTGGGAAACCCGGAGGCTCTCAATTACCTGCATTTTCTGGCGTTTTCACGTCCTCACAGGTGAGAGACGTGTTTGATACTGAGATGGAGCTGGATAATAACTCGGACCGGGATGGGGCAAGCACTATATATGAGGAAGCCGATAGCATTTCAATTGGGGAAGCCATGAGAAGTCCCATGTTCAGTGAGGACGGGTTATCTGATTACTCATGCTGGATCGATTTAGGCCAGAGTCCTCACCACTCCGATCTTTCTGGTCAATTCACCAAAGAGAAACCGTTAGCACCTTTAACTCAGTCATGGTTTTCAAGTCCGAAGGTGGGATCAAAAGTTTCTCAGAGCAAAGTATACGATGAGAGGAGGGTGAATGAAGATCCTATGATTTCTTTCGACACGGCTGTCTTGTCAATGTCACAAGAACCGAGTTCTAGAGAACCATATCTGACAATACAAAAAGACGTTGGAAGATATGGTGGCAAAGACATTCAAGAAGAGATTGAAATCGTTGAAGAATTAAGCAGAGGTTCAGAGAGTAGCTCTATCTCGAATGGGTTGCGAGGCTTTCAGCATTTCGATCCCAAGACTCCCTGCACTCCTGAAATCTGTCGAGGAATAAAAGAAAACTGCATAAGGAGAGAGACCGAATGTGATTTTCGATTATTAGGAAGAAGGGAACAAAGTAGACAAGGCGGATCTTTTACCTTGAATAAGAACCGAGAAGGAAGATCACATCACTTCCTTCGATCCGATGAAGCTTTGATGACTGGCCATGATGATGGTGACGGGCAAGACTGGCAGAGGAGGGAGCCCGAGATAACCTGCACCCATCTCGATCACGTTGATATGTTGGGCCTAAACAAAACAACTCTCCGACTAAGGTATCTGATCAACTGGCTCGTTACTTCACTGTTGCAGCTTCACTTCCCCAGTTCCGACAACACCATAGGAGCGCCTCTCGTGCAGATATATGGTCCTAAGATAAAGTACGAAAGGGGTGCATCAGTGGCGTTTAACGTGAGAGACAGCAGTAAAGGCGGCCTAATTCATCCCGAAACTGTTCAGAAGTTGGCTGAAAAACACGGGGTATCTCTTGGTGTCGGTATCCTCAGTCACATACAAGTGGTCGATAGCTCAAAACAGCGCCATAGAAGTCGATGCCCCGAAGACATAACCCTATGCAGTAAACCAATGTCTAGCGGTTGCCATGACAACAAGAACCAACTCTTCCGGATAGAGGTGGTTACAGCATCGCTTAGTTTCTTGACCAACTTCGAAGACGTTTATAGAATGTGGGCGTTTGTGGCCAAGTTTTTGAACCCCGTTTTCATAGAAGAAGCTGACAGACAATCAGAAGATTTTGAAGAGACAGACATAATGTAGAGATAGATAGAGTCTGGCAATTCAAGTGGATGTATGTATTCTTCAGATTCTTATTTTTACTTGTTGGAGATTTCGTTTTTGCAGCCTTGTTTCAGGAATTCTTTTGATATACTTAGTCTGCTACTTTGTGAGTGGAAATTGTGAGAAGTTACCTACAACTATATACTAAAGCTTGAGTTTTTGTGATTCTTCTTAGCTGTGTTTGTTTGTTTGTTTCTTGTACACCTTTAATTTTTGTGTGATGTCCTACACCAAACCTAACAACTTTTGGTTACTTATACAATGGAAATGGGTAGACTCTTTTGCATATTTGTGTTTCAGACTTGAGTTTCGATCAAACTTATTATTAGAGTAAAAGACATTTTTAGTCCTAAATTTATAGTGGCTTGGACAATTTTAGTCCTTTATAAAAAAATTTGCCATTTTATGGACAGAGTTATTGTGGCGAGGACATTTTTGGTCCTCCATCTATATTTCTGTTAGATAACCGTCTGAGAGAGGGGTAATTACGTCAATTTAGGCTATCTCCTTCTATCTATTATATCTATGTGTGTTTTGTTTTCTTCTCAGTCATAATTCGAAGGAGTCGGAGAGTCCAAGTTGCAGTTGTACGAAGAAATTGCCGGAGAATCGAAGCCACCAAACAGGTTACTAATCAAATAGATAGAAGGAGAATCGAAGCCGCCAAACACACATAGATATAATAGATAGAAGGAGATAGCCTAAATTGACATAATTGCCCCTCTCTCATACGGTTATCTAACAGAAATATAGACGGAGGACCAAAAATGTCCTCGCCACAATAACTCTGTCCATAAAATGGCAAATTTTTTTTATAAAAGACTAAAATTGTCCAAGCCACTATAAGTCTAGGACCAAAAATGTCTTTTACTCTTATTATTATGATTCTTTATGGAAGTAACATTTGAGACAAAAAATGTCAAGATCAAGTTATCAGGAAAATTTTATATAAAAAAAAACAAATGTTTGTGACACTTATTGCAAGTCAATTGAGTGCAAAAATAGCATTTTGATTTGAGAATATGGACATACCATTTGTATCTGGATGGCCTTGAATTGGTCCCTTTTACTTTGTTCAGTTTAGTCAAATGGTTTTATAATGTTAGTAGGGTTTTGAATGTTCATAGATGTGCCTTAAATTTGAGAGAGAAGCTAGCATGTTTTGTAGCATTTAAAGGTCCGAGTGATGCTATATGAAATCCGGACTGTCACTATGGAAAGGATTTGGAGTTTTTACTTTCCTCATGGATGGGAAGAATTTGTTGAAGAATATTTCCTCTGAAAAAGTGACATATTGGTATTAGGGGGTTGCCCAGGCGGTCTGATTTAGGCGGCACCTAGATCGCCTAGCTAGTCGAAACGTCTCAAGCCATTTTTTTTTTATTTTTTATAAAAGAGATTATTCGCCAAAACGACGTCGTTTTGGCGAATAACTCCTAAACAAAAATAAAATCACTTCTAATCGTGAATTCACTTCTAATCTGCACTTCGATCGAATCGTCTTTTGTCTCTATCACGCTAACGTCCGCCACCCCACACGGTCGCGCCTCGCCGGTCACCCCCGCCAACTCCTAAACAAAAATAAAATCACTTCTAATCTGCACTTTGATCGAATCGTCTTTTGTCTCTATCACGCTAACGCCTGCCAACCCACACGGCCACGCCTCGCCGGTCACCTCCGCCAGTCGCCTCCGCCAAGTATGATATTTACTTATATATTTTATTTGTTATTTACTTTTTTTTTCCAGTTTAGGTTTTGGCCATTTTGCTTTAATTTTTTTTCTTTTGAATCTTTTATTGAATTGGATTTGTGGACTATTAGGTAATTAGGTATTAGAATTTTTGATTAATTTATTTTTTAAATTTAAAAAATAAAAGACTAAAAAAGTAAGAAATAAAAATAAAAAATCAGGCGGCTAGGCGCTCTCTTTATACCTAGGGAGCGCATAGCGTCTTTTGCAATACTGATTTAGATATAATAGAGGTTCACAATTTGATGTACTAATGTTCGATCAATAGAGTTGTTATGAAAAAGAAATTTCTTTCTTTCTTTCAACTTTTAAAAATAAAATAAAATTCAAAAACTAATTCTTTTGAAATTACAACCATATATGGCATCACCTTCCATTGATTATTGGGGGGGGGGGGGGGGGGGGGGGGGGAGAGGAATCATCGGGGATAGATGTCTAAGTCAACCAATACAAACTCAATTAGGACCTACTTCACACATGCTCAATGGGCGTGTTGCGTGCAACACATGCTAGGCACAATGTGATGAGCTGGCTTAGCTTTAATTAGGTTTTGCTTTCTAGAAATGCTAACTTTGGGCCTATTGCTTAACCTAGCTTGGGTCGATTTATCCCCTTTCCAAATCTCAAATCTCTCGTACTTTCTCGATATCTCCCTTAACCTAGCTTGGGTCGATTTCGTCCCTTTCCAAATCTCAAATCTCTCATACTTTCTCGATCTCTCCCTTTTCCTCTCTCTAGGTCTCGACGTTGTTTTGACGAATAACTCCAAAAAAAAAAAAAAAAAAATCGCTTCTAATCGCGAATTCAATTCAGCCACACCACCCTTCTATAGTCTGCACTTCGACAGAATCATCTTCTGCCTCTGTCACGCCAACGCCCGCCACCCCACGCGACCACGCCTCACCAATCACCTCCGCTAGGTATGTTATTTATTTATTTTATTTGTTATTTACTTATTTCTTTTCAGTTTAGGTTTTGGCCATTTTGCTTTATTTTTTTTTTCTTTTGAATCTTTTATTGAATTGGATTTGTGGACTATTAAGTAATTAGGTATTAATTTTTGGTTAACAAGAAAAATAAAAAACCATCGGGGATAGATGTCTAAGTCAACTAATACAAGCTCAATAATCAGCACCTACTTCGCACGTGCTCAATGGGCGTGTTGTGTGCAACACATGCTAGGCACAATGTGATGAGCTGGCTTAGCTTTAGGTTTGGCTTTCTAGAAATGCTAACTTCGGGCCTATTGCTTAACCTAGATTGGGTCGATTTCTCTCCTTTCCAAATCTCAAATCTCTCCTACTTTCTCGATCTTTCCCTTAACCTAGCTTGGGCCGATTTTTCTCCTTTCCAAATCTCAAATCTCTCCTACTTTCTCGATCTCTCCATTTTCCTCTCTAGATTTCTCCCTTTTCCTCTCTCTAGGTCTCAACGTCGTTTTGGCGAATATCGCTTCTAATCGCGAATTCAGTTCAACCACGCCCTTCTATAGTTTGCACTTCAACTGAATCGTCTTCTGCCTCTGCCACGTCGACGCCTACCACCCCACGTGGCTACGCCTCGCCGGTCACCTCAGCCAAGTATGGTATTTACTTATTTATTTTATTTGTTAATTACTTTTTTTTTAAGTTTAGGTTTTGGCCAAGAAAAATAAAAAATCACCATCAGGGATAAATGTATAAGTCAATCAATACAAGCTCAATAGTTAGCACCTACTTCACACGTGCTTAATGGGTGTGTTGCGTGCAACACATGCTAGGCACAATGTGATGAGCTGGTTTAGCTTTAGGTTTGGCTTTCTAGAAATGCTAACCGTAGGACTATTGCTTAATCTAGCTTGGGTCGATTTCTCCCCTTTCCAAATCTCAAATCTCTCATACTTTCTCGATCTCTCCCTTCTTCTCTCTCTAGGTCTCAAAATTTTCTTACTCTCTCGATCTCTCCGTGCTCCCTCTCATCTTTCCAAATCTCATATCTCTCTTACTCTTTCGATCTCTCAACTCTCTAGATTTTACATCAATTTCTTATGTCTTTCTTGAATTTCCTTAATCCCGTTACTTTCTTGCATTAATTATGTCTCTAAACACTTTTAGTTGACTAGTCCAACCAATCAACCTAGTATACCACTCATCAACTTCCGTTATCAATGAAGTTAAGTGCTAAAAATAGAATTATTATTATTATTTTAACAAAAAGTGTTTGGTAGGATGACCAATTGATTGCTTCAAGGATGCATATAATATTTTTCATATAATTATTTTGACCCATCAAAAGAAAATCCCCTATTCACTATTCCCTGCCACCTTCCACTGCCGTTTCCTCACCCCCACTCCATTATCATCGAGAATTCTAGAGTGCGGTGTATATGGACAACTCAATTGGTTATTAGATAATAAATTATAGATAAAAATATATGATCTAGACCTAATTGTCATAATATGAAAATTTAATTTATTTAATATGATGAGTTTCTTATAGACACTAATTTTTTCACCTAATAGAATGATGAGACAGATTTATATCCATCTATTATCTTGAAGGGGCTGGAGTGTGGGAAATTCTAGAATGTGTTAAAATATATAAAGTTGTTTTTTCATCCTTTCTAAAAATCCATTCTTTCATCTTTAATTTTGGTGTTTCTTGATTTCAGATTAGCAGAGCAGAAGAATGGGAGATGACCGCAAGAATTGCCAGGAAGGACAGGAAAATATGTACTGGTCTTGTTTTAAAACAATTTGTTTCGTTCAGATTCTCTCAGAAAGTTTCAATCAGCTGCTTGTAAGTCCAAACTATAATGTCTTCTTCTTTTTTTTTTTTTTTTTTGAAAACATAATGTCTTCTTTAATTTCTCCAAAATTAGTAAAAACTTTTTTTCTGGAAACTTGTGATCAAACATGCATTCTGTTCTTGCAGGCTGTTCCTCAGAAGTTTGTTAACAAAATGAGAGAGAAGTTAGAAAGTTCTGTTGCACTTATAGGTCCGAGTGGTGCAATATGGAATGTGGGACTAACAGCACTGGGAGAGGAGTTGTACTTTGATCATGGGTGGAAAGAGTTTGTCGAAGAACATTCCCTCCAGAAAAATGACATGTTACTATTTGAATACAACGGAGGTTCACAATTTAAGGTGAAAATATTCGATCTCCAGAGCCAGTGTGAAAAAGAATCTTCGTATTTTATAAGAAAATGTGGACGAGGAGATGGAGTTTATAAGATTGAGAGTAACCCAGCTCTTGCTCTAGCTCTCACTTCCGCTCCAGCTCCAACTCCAACTAGTGACGATGAGACAAGCAGTGAATCCTCGGTTCAATTCCTTGGATCCACAAAATGGGCACCTCCTTTAGATAAAATTACACAGAAACAAGCATCTCCACCACCAATGAGGAAGACAAGTGAGGGATCTAAGGGTACACACTTTTAACTATTATTCTTTCTGTCTTAATTAACCATCTGCTCAGTTGACATCTCTGTGGCTCTCCTTGATGGAAGGTCATAGGAGCAAACCCCGGTCTTTGGACTATAACAGATATAGAAAGTATATTGAACAGATACTACATCACGCTCTCAGCTCAAATCGAATAGAAGGGCAGTGACGGAAGAGGAGAAAGGCAAGGCCAAACAAATGGCATCTGCAGCAGTTTCCCCTACTGGGTTCACTGTCATTATGGCTCCTGGGAATGTGTACAGGAGATTTGAGATGGTAATGCTAAACCTTCCAAAACCTTTCATTCAATATTTATATTTTTCAAGATTCATTATTCATTCATGTAACTCTCAAATTTTTGGTGCATGCATGCAACATAGGCTATCCCGGGTGATTGGGCGAAGACAAATCTTCCTGAGATTAAGAGAAACTTTGATTTGAGACTGAGTTTTAAGGGGAAAACATGGACAGTGAGATGCTACCAGAGACTAAAATTTGGGCGAAGAACTATACTGGCTGGCAAGGGGTATCGAAGCTTCGTCCTTGAGAACCAAATTGAAGAATTCGATGTGTGTGTGTTCGAGATGGCGAGTAGAGACACTGGTGAAGATATTTCTTTCAATGTCAGCATCTTCCGAGTTGTGGAGGATGCTGTTCCACCATCTCGAGTTAACCCAGTTTCGTCTTCAAAGTAATCCCGCCCATGTCGTCTGTTATGTGCGGTTCATTCTTAGATTCTGTTCTGTAGAACTTATAACTTATTTTAAATTACAGATGAATTATATGTTTATTTTGATAAAACATGAATGGTTTGAAATAATAGTTTATTAGTGTGCATGTTGTGTGCAACATATACTAGGCACAATGTGATGAGGTGGTTGAGCTTTAGGTTGGGCTTTTTAGAAATGCTAACCTTGGGCTGATCGAGTTAGCTCATATTTTTAATTTCCATTGCTATTAATGGGAGATGACTGCAGGTATTGTCAAAAATGGAGGAATATATTTACTGATCTGATTTTAAAGCAGTTTGTTTCTTTCATATTTTGTGGAAACTTAGCTTCTTACCAGCCATTGGCAATTGGCATACTGCGTGCAACACAGGTGCATATATAGCATAAGACCATCAAACCATCATGAGACAAACAGTGAATCCTCATCAGGCCTATCTTCCTAAGACTAAGAAAACCTTTGATTTAACTTTGATCTGTGTGTTAAGGAGAAATTAAAATATGGACAGCCAGAGACGACATTTTGTGGATCGGAGCTAGGATGCCATTCCACATTTCCACCATCATAGACCTCTTATTTGAATGACAAAAATAATACAAACGTTAAAAAAAAATCCATTTGACTGCTCAAAATGCTCTAAATTATATAAAAAAAAAATTATAAATAATTTATAGTCAAACCTTGTAAATTTAACATATACATTCTTTCAAAGGTTGAACCCCAACCCTAAGGGTCCCCACACCCCGACCCGAAATTTAACATATACATAAAATGGGATGTAGTCATGTAGGGATTTTTTTTTTTTTTTTTTTTTTTTTATAAATAAAGATGAAATGTAGCATATTATTATTATTATTATTATTATTATTATTATTATTATTATTATTATTATTATTATTATTATTATTTATTGTATACAATATAAATTAAAACACTTCATATAAAAATGATTACAAACTATAATTATGAGTACAAACTTATTATTCATTAAATATAGTACATATAAATTACAAATTTGGTCCATATAATTTAATCTTTAAAATTATGATAAAAAAATTTCACTATCTAAGCAATATATGATTCACATTTGGTGTGGCCACCCAACTAATCCCCGTTTGTGGGAATCAAACTCGGGTTATCTCAAAATTTTCATCCACAAAGAAAGCTTATTTGTCACTTGAGTTATTCCGTTGGGTTATATGATTCATATATAAGTAGATACTCAATGCCTATCACAAATATTTTGTCTAACTCGTTTCCAATATGGCTTATATATGGGTGCACTGAATATTTTGACAGAAGAACAATGCGGTCAGTTGGTGGCCGTGCTCTACCATCTATGGAGTGTCCGAAACACTGCGGTGTGGGAGGGTACGTTATTGCGCCCCAGACAGGTTTGGCGACGAGCTGTTGCCGCCATGCACACGTACGCACAGCTCCACTGGCGTCTCCCTCGCCCGTCGGCAGCAGAAGCAGCTACAGGAACGGAACGTGACAGGTCCGTTCGAAGTGCTACATAGATTCGGGGGCGTCCACCGGAGAAGTCACCTGCGGCGCTGTTTTATTCTCCCAAATAGGATCATTCCAGGCTGCCACAAATGGACAACTGTCAGGGTGTTTTTTGCCACTTATGGCCGAAGCACTTGCGTGCAAGGAATCATTATCTTGGCTCAAGGAACGAAACGTGATGAATGTGGATCTTCTAACAGATTGCTCAGAACTACGGAGTTCTTTACTCTCGGCTCCCACGTCTATTCGGTCCTATGTTGGTGTCATTGTGGACCAATGTAGGACGTCAATGTCTTTATTTAATCATTGTTCGTTGAATGTTATTTCTAGATCGGTTAATTTACATGCTCATACTTTAGCTTCGGTAGCTTTCGATCAGGATCATTCTATGTTATGGGACTCCGTCCCTCTTGACTCTATTGCTCTATTCATTCATTAATACATGGCTATGCCTTATTTTCAAAAAAAAAAAAAAAAAAAGATACTCAATGCGCTAAGCAGAGAACAATTTTCTTTTTATTCTTCTCTTAAAGATTGAATTTCAACGCTAAGGGCTCCACACTCTGACTGATAAAACATGTGAGAGAAGATAAATCAGGTACTTAATAGGTACTAGGACTATGTGGTCTAATGGTATTCGGGTTGGACTTTTATTTGGAAGATTATGAGTTCGAGCTTTAGTGGAGGCGTGTTATTGGTTTGGTATTTTGTGTTTCAGTAGGTTGAGAAAGTATTTTGTGTAAGTATTTTGTGTTTCAGTAGGTTGAGAAAGTATATGAACAAATACTACATACTACAATAGAGCGGTCAGTAGGTTGAGAAAGTATATGAACAGACAGTACATATTACAATGTAATAGAGAATTTTCCTTTTATTCTTCTATCCAATGGGTGCATCCAGTAAATTTTATATATTATTTTGACCCACCAATAAAATCCCATATTTGCCACCATTAACTATTCCATACCATCTTCCTTGTCCTTTGCTCATCTTCCTCTCCCTTAAGATCAAGAATCTGCGTTTTATCATTATGTAAGAATATGGAAAGTTCTTTTTGCATTATTAATATTAGGTTAGGATTATGCCTTTTTGTAGAAAAACAGTTTCAGTTTTAAAAATCCATTCTTTCATCTTTAGTTTTGGTGTTTCTTTGTTTCAAGATTAGCAGAAGAATGGGAGATGACTGCAGGGGTTGTCAGAAATGGGAGGAACATATCTATTGGTCTCGTTTTCAAGCAGTTCAGTTCTTTCAGATTCTCTCCGGATGTTACAATGAGCAGCTTGTAAGTCCAAATTACAGAGTTTTCTTTTGCCAAAACTAGTAAATGCAAAAAAAAAAAAAAAAAAACATAGTAATGCATTTTGTGGAAACTTCTGATCAACCATGCATGTTGTTTATCTGTTAGTGTATGTTTTTAGTTTGTTGTGCTGTGTTTACTATGGTGTTGCTCCTTTGCCTGTTCTTGGGGTTTGTTTCAGGATGAGAAACCCGCACTCACTATCTCGAGGTGCATACTAGGTTAACCACAATCATGTGTAATAACCAGCAAGCAAACTAGGTTAACCACAATTATGTGTAATAACCAGCAAACCCTAGGAAAGGAAAATTGCACTAGGAAGACCATATGACTTGATTTTTGGTATTGGCAAGAACTCAACTCGTTATCTAAATCATGCTCTACCTATTCAGCCATTCCTTTCGGGGGCTTTTTTGTATCCATGTGTGTAATACTCCCTGTTAGATAAGTTTTGCTAGAATATAAATGTTTCTGACAAGTTTGGTTGGCGTGAGTGGCCGTGCATTTTCGTACCTTAAGAGAGGTCGGGAGTTCGAATCTCATCTCGTATAGAAAAACTAATCTGGCCAGCACTTTGCCCCTATAGTATGGTATGGGCTTATGGTCTGACAAAAAAAAATGTTTGTGACACTTAATAGAGTGCAAGAATAGCATTTTACCTTTGAGTATATGAACATAACATTTGCATCTTTTCCTGATCCTTTTAACTTTGTTTAGTTTAGTCTAATGGTCTTGTGAATGCTTATAAATGTGCCTGTTGGCAAACTCTAGTAAATGTTGGTTTGATGAATTTGCAGGCTGTTCCTCAGAAGTTTGTTAACAATCTGAGAGAGAAGCTAGCAGGTTGTGTTGCACTTAAAGGTCCGAGTGGTGCTATATGGAATGTCGGGTTGACAGCTTGTGGAGAGAAGCTGTACTTTCAACGCGGATGGAAAGAATTTGTGGAAGAACATTCCCTCCAAGAAAATGATTTGTTGATATTTAAATACAATGGAGGTTCGCAGTTTGATGTTGTAATGTTCGATCAACAGAGCTATTGTGAAAAGGAAGCTTCGTATTTTATCAGAAAATGTGGGCACCAAGAGCTTCCTAGTCGAGGAAAGGCTAATGGAAACCCCACTCCAGTGACTCCACTGACTCCCGAGACAAACAGTGAATCCTCAGTTGAAGTAATTAGAGCCACCACTAAACGGAAGAAACCTAGAGAGGCACAAACATCTGTCAAACAGGGTACTCGAGGAAAGAGGGGAGCTAGGAAGGGATCTATGAGTATACCCTTTTAACTATTTTGATATTTTTTCAAATAACAATAGTGGATCTTATATATATATAAAATCCCTATGTGTGATTACTCATTCCCCGTTTCTTGGTACCAGGTAGAATCAGAAGTGCTGAAATCCAGCTGAAATCGAACAGAAGGCCAGTGACTGAAGAGGAGAAAGCCAACGCTATACAAATGGCATCTGCAGTAGCTTCGTGTTATGGATTCGTGGTGATCATGGCACCGGGCAATGTGTATAAGGGATTCTTTTTGGTAACGTTCTGCTAAATCTTCCAAACCCTTCATTGATTTGCTGCCAATTCAATATTTTTCAAGATCCGATCTGTTGAAAATGCTACATAGTATACCAAAAAGTTCATTTTTTGCTGCAATGCAGAGTATCCCTACTGATTGGGCGGGGAAATATCTTCCTACAACCGAGAAAAACTTTGACTTGACTCTGCGTGTCAAAGAGAATGCGTGGACAACCAGATGTTACCACAGAAAAATTTCGGGCAGTGGCTATCGCAAATTTGTGCTTGAAAATAACCTTGAAGAGTTCGATGTGTGTGTGTTCAGGCTGGCTAGTCGAAGTGATGATATTGTCTTTGATGTCAGTATCTTTCGGGTTGTGGAGGAGGTCGTTCCACCATCTCGAGTTACCCAAGCCGTACCTTCAAGGTGTTATAAACGGAGAAAGTGATTTTATCATATCTTCAATGGGTAAATACCCAAAGCACTGCATCTCCAGATATGCAGACTAGAACAACAAATCATGTAAATATTTGGTATTTTGCAGTCTGTCTCCAAGTTAGAGCCTGGAAAACAGTTCTCAACTTTTGTGTACAAGTTGTATGTCTTCTTGTTGCATACTTTTTATGGGATTGTCTTTAAATGTTTGGTTGTCTCACATTTGTGTCTGTCTGTTTGTCTCATTGTCTGTTGTTGTTCTTTGGTTAGCTTTCTTGTTATCTTATTTGATTTGTGGATGCCATTGCTTCAAACGAGCTAATACAGCTTAAAAAAGGAGTGACTAAGTGAGTAAAATATGATTAAATAAACAAATTTTCGAGTCAGTAAAACATGATTAAGATCATGAGTTTAATTTTTATTGACACCTTCTGAGATCGTGGGATTTATTAATGAACACCTATGTAAATGTTTTAATAAAATTTTGACTCATGTAATTAAAAAAAAAAAAAAAAACAATTTTTTAAAATCATTTTATTAAAGATTTTCTTGAAATCTACGCTTGAGACCCCTCATTAACCACTTGAAGCTTGTCAAAACGTAATAGCATTTGGGGAGTTGGGTCACAGCCCACACAAGGCCACAATTGCTTAATTCCTCGCTAGCATCTACGGTTTTCATCCCTAACCTCTCTGTCTGCTCCCCTTTCTCTCTCTGTTTGATCAACAATTCTTGAACTAACAGTTAAGTTTTGTGTTAAAGTTTCAATCTTTTTCCAACTGGGTTTGCAGTACATCTGATTTTTGTGTTTATATTTTAGTTCCATCCTCTTTGTTTCTCCTTCAATTTAAGTAGATAAATACCCTGCTATTTGTGTATATATTGGCTCTTTTTTCTCCTTAATTTTAGGCTTTGGGAAGAATGGGAGATTCTGACTGCGGGGGTTGCAAGAAAAGGGAGGAAAATATATACTGGTCTCACTTTCAAACGGTTCAGTTCTTTCAGATTCTCTGTGGGCATTACGATCTTCAGCTCGTAAGTTCGGATAATAACGTTAAATTGATAGAATTTCTGGTTGGGCATTAATTTCATGTGTGTTTTTTCTTCTTATCTATGATGTTATTGATGCCAAATTTTGTATAATTTTCTTGATTTTATCCCATAAATATGAAGGGTTTCAAATTACTACTCTTTCTAGTTCCTTAATTTGTAGATATGATGGTTCTTATTCTTCTTAAGTATCAGTTATTTTGGGTTGAATAAGAAAGCATGTTAGCTTAGCTATAAACTATAAACTACAGTTGCTGAAAAAGGGATAATTTTCTGCACATTTCATCTGGATATGGTGTAGTTGGTTTTATGCTATGTGGTTCGATGGGTGGAAAATGGGAGTAAAACGAAGTGTGTTTTGATTCTATCTGATCTTGTGGTTATGTAAGCTCTGAATGATCCTAAGTGTAATGCTAAAACGTACAAATTGCAGGCTATTCCCCAAAAATTTGCTGACAATCTAAGAGAGAAGCTAGCAGATTCGGTTTCCCTTAAAGGCCCGAGTGGTGCCATATGGAATGTGGATTTGGAAGCGGAGGGAGATAAGCTGTACCTTAAGTATGGTTGGAAAGAATTCGTGGAAGAACATTCTCTGCGCGAGAATGATGTCTTGGTGTTTAAATATAACGGGAATTTACAGTTTGATGTCACAATGTTTGACGGGCTGACCTTATGTGAGAAAGAAGCTTCGTATTTTATTAGACATTGTGAACATAGAGAACTCACTATCCGAGCTATTCCAATATCCGCCACTCCAAACAGCTACCATGAGACAGCAGCCAACGAATCCTCCTCACATGAAGAGTTCGAAGTAACTGCTAGGAAAAACCCAGGAAATGGTTTTGCATCTATTAACCAGAGTACTCAAGCTTACGGGAGGCCAAGGAAGAGGCCTAAGAGTAAACCCTTCAACTAATACATATATATACATTTATCTCTTTGATAGTTCATTGTTTGTGATTCTGGGATGATTCATATAATACTAGGTAGAAACGGTGGACCATCACACGTGTATCCTCTTCAATTGAAATCGAACAGAAGGCCCGTGACTGAAGACGAGAAAGGCAAGGCTATACAGGCAGCATCTGCAGCAGCAGTTGGTGATAGCTTCACGGTGGTTATGCAAGAATGCCACGTGTACAAGGGATTCTTCTTGGTACGTTTCTGCAAATCCATTTCATTAAAATGTAGCTTTTCATGTGTGTTTGTGATTAGAACTTCAATTCCTGAAAGTAGTTTTACTCCCTATATATGATTCGAAGTAGACAATCCCGGCTGAGTGGGCAAGGAGTCATCTTCCTCAGAAAAACATCAATGTGTCTCTGCATGTAAACGAGAAGACATGGCTGGCAAAATGCTATTATAAAACTTCTAGTCATGGACTGGCGGGTTCTGGGTGGAAAAACTTTGCACTCGATAATTTTCTTGAAAAAGACGATGCCTGTGTGTTTAGCCTGGTTAGCCAAAGCGATAGTGCTGTCGTCTTCAACGTAAGCATTTTCCGAGTAGTGGAGGAGGTGGTTGCGCCGAATAGAGTAATTGGAACCCCCTCAAGGAAAAGCTTGCACCCAATATGAGCAGCTGCAAGCCTGCAAACTGGTTTCAAGTGTAATGAAAGGGAATTGTTGTTTTGTACTAACTTTAATCCAATCATGTTTTTTGTTCTTATATTTGAAATCTTGAAGTTCATAACCAATATGGTCCGCCATTCTTGCCTAATTAAGTTCTTAACTATGAAAATCTTTCTCAATTTATCCTTTCATAAAGTCTCCATGTATTTTTTAGGACGATGATGTAATTTCACATGTTTCCTTACTTAAAATAGTCCAATAAATTAATCATTTAGCTTAAATAAATCAAGTGAAATTATCTTTTTGAGTTGAGAACTTACCGGGCATTTGGTTGGAGAGGGAGAATTACGTGGGAAAGGATTTGCAATTTCATGGGAGATGAATTACTGGAAATAAAGTGGGAATTTAAATTCCAATGTTTGGTATACATGGGAATTGAAAGGGAATAAGTAGTATAAAGTCCAAAATGTCCATTGTTGTTGTCAAACATTAATTTTAGGTTAAAAAAATGAGGGGTAATTTTGACTCATCACTATCTTTTTTTTCTTCCTAAAATCCCAAGAATTAAAATACCAGGGGACATGGGATTTTAATTCCATGAAAATGAGGGAATTGCAATTCCATGGAATTGTGATTCCTTTCAACCAAACAAAAGAATTTTGTGACCTTTGGAATTAGGTGGGAATTAAGTGGGAAGGGAATTTAAAATCCCTTCAACTAAACACCCTGTTAATTGTTATACTCAATGAATTATTTGAGTGAGTTTTCTGCCTTCATAGTTGAGAACTTAATTAATTTTAGTCAATGAACTATTTGGTCATGTAATGAGTGAGTTTTCTCACATATGTTTCCTTTGCTAAACATTCTCAGTAAATCGGGCAGGTCAGCTATCTATTAGTGAGATGGTCTGTTTTTAAGCTTGATTGTTTGGAGTGATTTTTTAATCCTCCTTCTATCATTTGTAATGTTCTGTCTTCGAACTTGAATAAATATAAAGTAATTTTTTTTTTTAGAAAAAAAACTTTGAAATCTTGTATAAATATTAATGGTATAGATGTTACATCAGAAGGTAGCTCTTTTGAGTGATGTTAATGTTACAGATGCACCTAAAGGCGACATTCCCACTTCTATATCAAAAGAATCATAACGGAGGAAGAGCTCCACCAACATCAGCCTCGAAACTAACATCACGAAATCTTTCCCGGCGCACTGTTTATCGTTCACCGTCGGATTCTCCGTTTCACGGCCGTTTGACCAGAGAACGTGCTTCAACAGTGCCTTTCCTTTCTCACCCACGAATCGGTGGGGGATGAATTCTTGAGCCCTGTCGAAGATTTTCGGGTCTTTGGTGGCGAATGGCTGGAACCCAAACAGCATTTCGCCTTCTTTAACTTGGAATCTAGCGTCGTGGGACTCGATCACAATGTCGCGTTTGGCTCTGCCGTATTGGGTGGGCACCGGCGGTTCGATACGAAAGGACTCGTACACCGTTGATTTCATCAGCTCCATCTGTTCCATCCCCGCCATCGTGATTTTCCCGCCGTTGGCTTTGACGACGGAGCGGATTTCTTTAGCTAGTTGGGTGTGGAGGCTGACACCGGCGCGGCCGATCCACTTGAGCATGTTGGGGAAGAAGATCTTCATTCCACCGAAAGAGTTGAAGCAGGTGGCGAAGACGAGGTTATGGCAGGCTTCTTCTCGGGAAACGCCGAGTATTTCGCCGTGATCGAGTATAGCGGTGGAGTTTTCGTAGAAAAACTCATAAAGCCTTTGGTAATCTTTCTTGACCAAAGCAGGGGGGAGCCGGAAAGTATGGAGGAGGGGATCTTCTATCTGTTTGGGGAGTCCAAGGCTAAGGACAGGATGAAGATTAAACAATACCCATTTTCCGATGAGCTTGGGGGCGTCTAATCGGAGTTTGGTTCTCATGGGATCAACCCCGTAAAGAGAGCGAGCCAAGAAATTGAAAGCAGCTTGATCGTTAGCCGCATTCAACCCAGCTTTACCGTTACCGGCGAGTTCATTCTCCAGAGTGTCAAACATCTCGGCGTAAGCATTATGGAACTCGGGAAGAAGGTGATGGCGGCGGTGGGAGAGGAGAAAAAACATGAGATTCTTGAGTTTAGCGTGGTTGGGCTCGGAGGGGTCAATGTAGGAGAGAATCCTGTAGCCGCCGGTGAGTTCAGTGGAGGGCATGTAAGTTCCGGTGAAAACGTCCCGCTTTTCGACGACGGAGACGTCAAAGAGCGTGGGAAAGCTCTTCCCGTCGAGCAAACACACGACTTTGGAATCGGAGGAGATGAAGGGGCCAGGTGGCATGTTGGTCCTGAACACCGTCGACTGGTACTTCTGAATACGCTGCCGGAAAAACTCCTCCCTACCTTGATTATAAAAGTAGTCAATCCTATCCTTCATCGGCCCAACAAAAGGAAGCCCATAATCCCCGGGAATTTTACGCAGCGGCAGGGTGGCGGGAGACGGCCGCCGCCGCGGCACAGACACGGCCGGCGGCGGGTTCTCCGACACCGATATGCAAACCGGCCGGAACTTCAAACGGCGGGTAAAAGTCTTCTTCTTCTTGGAGGAGGAGAATGAGGAGGATTTCTGAAATGGAAACTGCAGTTGGAGTTGGAGAGTAACTGATGAAGAAGAAGCAGACGCCATTATATATGTTTATAAAATTGAAGCTAAGAATGAAAGAGCGATGAAGAAACAAAGGAAATTAATGGCGGGATGGAAGTTGAATGAAGCCCCGGCGGGTTTATATACAAGCACAGAACAGATTATAGGAATAGGAGGGGATGAGTGATTGTAGTAAAGTGCGGGCGCTTAATAAAAACATTAAAAACACAATTCCAATTCCAGTGATAGTCTTTGGTAGTTGCAATATTGGACGGAGACGGAGAACTGTGTTGTGTGGATCAGGAACCCACTGGCCGGAAAGCCATTTCTTTGGTCGTCGGTCGTTGATCGTGGGGCTATGAATGGAAGTCAAAAGACGGAGAAGTGAGAACGGTGACTTCAAGTCGGTGCAGGCTCTTGCCGGTACCGCCCAAAATGCTGCCACGTCACGTGCACTTTTTTTTTTTTTCCCCATTTTCCAATTTCTTTTTCTTCTTCAAAAAAAATATTTATGCTCAATGCAATTCCCCACTCCCCAGCTTACTGAGTTACTGTTATTATTATTATTATTATATTATTATTATTATTTCTTCCTTTCTCGTTTACTAATTACTACGGAGTAATAATACTGTATAAGGCCTATATGGCTGTATTTACTAGTGCTATACTCTATAATCTATATTTTATACACTACTGTAATTTTATCTCACTTTCAATTATAATAATATAATAAAGAAAATGTCAAGTCTAATTAAAATTGAATGACTTTTAGGGATGTTCAAGTCTCAATGCCTAGTTTGCAAGAGTAACTAACTCTAATAAAGAGTTTGTGCATAGTTATAAATAAAATTTTTGTTGATGTGAAGGAGATGGAAGAGAAGAATTGAGTCCTTTTGTAATGTATTTTGTATCTGATTTATTGTTAAGAAAAAAAAGAGAAAAAAATTACATGACAAAAACTTGTAAAATTTTACATGACAAAAAAAAATACGGAGTATCAAGAAAAACCTTACAACCATTGGAGTCGCTTTAAGTAGTAGCAGTCTTTATGAAAAATCATTTTGAGAACTAAATGTTAAATGTAACCTGTCAATAAAAATAAAAAACGAGTAAAGTACCTTTGTGCAATAAAATTGTGAATATGTTAAAGGCATAGGATTTGACCTTACCACTAAAAATCAATGCATTATGGGAAGAGGGTGGAAGAAGCCCGGGAGCACTAACAAGAATAATCAGAGAGTCTATTTACAGAAGTGCTCTATTTCTGAGACGGATGGAATATTCTCTGACGGGTAAACCTTTACAACAAGCTGATGAAAGCTATTATACTTGTCTAGAAAATCTTTCTGTCAATATCACAAAAATTTTGAGTAAAAAACTTGTAATCGATAATGCATTAGAAAGTGAATGACTTGCTAGATTTAAGAAAAAAAAAATTATTGGAGAATCACATCCCCTTGTTTTGATGGAAAATGATTCATTGAGGTGAAATGTAACTTTTCACACCTTGAGAAGTCCTTGGCTCAGATGGATATATATACACATATTTGGTTAATTGGTCAGATTTTATATATCCAATCCAACAATAATATCAAATCAAATAGACAGAAAACACCACTCTGTTGAGTGCATGTACCTTTAATTTGTCCCACAAGGAAGGAAACAACTCCTCTGATGTTAAGTTCTTCTGCAACCTCTTGTACATAGCATTGATGGACTTGTCAACCTGCAAAAACCGATGTATCATTACCAACATTTGCAGCCCTTCATCCTAAACCTTGCTAATTCACTTACCCCGGATAAACTTGATTTCACCACCTTCCGAAGATCCGCCTTTGACAATCCAATCTGGAATGGGATCTGAAAATAGTATATACATGTTAATACCAGAACACTTATAGTAATGAACTGTCACAGAATCTCTCAGCAAAGAATGGCCTCACAGCATTTACTGATCACAAGTGGAGAATGAAATGAACATTTTTTATTGAATTCACAGAATTAACCTCTTCTGGATTGAGGTTGTACATTGATTCCTCGATTCTTCGAGCAAATTCAAAGAGTCTCTCAAAATGCTGCAGAGAAAGACATGATATGTATGCAGCAGCTTCAGAAAATAGAATTTGGAACATTGGCCTTTGCAAGCAATGAGAGTGTCCTGAATTTAGATCACTCACATAATATATGATCATGCTAATATGGCGCGTGCAAGCCTGTTCATAACCTTCACTAGCTTGGTGATAAAATTTTGCTAATGTGGGGACGACATTCGCAAGGTCATACAGACTGCATATCAAGTGCATCCCATCAGCTTGTGGTAACAAAACCTTGGAGTAAAAACAAAAAAAAAAAGGGGACATTAATACCCAATACATTTTTACACACTGGTCAGATAATACCTATTTTGGAATGCAGCATAGTTCTCTAAAAGCATGATATCTTCATATTTTGGGTCAGCCTGAGCAATTTTTTCCAAAGACACAAACATCATAGTCACCTGCCAAACAAGTTACAAGTCAATTTTAACAAGTCCAAAAAATGATGGAAGAAGTCTTATCATTTACTAAGAACAACAAAGTGGAAAGAATTTATTAAATTCATTCCAAATAGAATATTAATGAGATGCTATAATGCTTCCAGAATGACGGTCACTTGCAATAACAATTATTATTTGGCTATAGAAAGGATTGGTATCTTCTCAGATTGCTCAGTAACAATAAATCACAAGATAGTTAAGATTTGACAAACCAATTAATTAGTGAAGAATGCCCAATAATCATCTAAAACAACCCATTTATTCTAGAGTAAAACACAACTTGTAGAATACCATTGAAAATTTTATAGCACTCACAAGTTTTGTGTATGCTTGATCTACTAAGTCCCTTGATTGTCCCTGAATGTACTGCTCCATACGAGTCGCAAGAGCGGCAAATCTAAATTAGAGTAAAATGAATGAGATTGACTGATAATCAGAGACCAAGAAGAATTTGAATACTAGCTAAAGAGAAATTATTAATGCAAACAATAAAAGTAACACTTTCAAATAACTCTAAATGATTCAGAGATTGGCAAACCACAATTGTTACTACAAAAGAGCGTATTAGCAAAGAGTTCTTCAAAAATGGATGGCCAAGGAGAACTTCACCCCATAGCCTAACTCAAATACCATGTGATTGTTTTGATACTCTAGAGCAAAGACCTTTTCGGTATTCAAAGCCAGATTGAGCTCCAATTAATCTGGAGTCAGGTTACCATCAAATCCTATAAGGGGTAGCCCTCTCAATGCTTATTGCTTTATTCGCAAGGCTTGAATCAGAGCTTCTTTTTTTTTTTTTTTTAAGGGAGACCAAACTTCTTCCATGGAAAGTAGGTCATTGGTCCAATATCATGGGTTCATGCAACAAAAAGTTGTGATATAAGGCCATTTTTTGTTGTGATAAAATGTGTTCAAGTTCAAGGGTGATACAATTTGATTATGTGAATGATGCCCAGTGAGAACCCCAGTCCACAGAGGCGCAGAATTCTCTATTAAATTATAAATATTTAAAATACTTTCTTTTCCGAACATAGATGAGGTGTATTAAGTTTTTCATGAGTTTTCTAATCTAAGTTTTGTAGGCATAAGATTGGACTTGACAACTTTTGACCCGAAACAGTTGTTCGAGAAATTAGACTGATAATGTGAAATTAAGGAAATGTTGAACCGTGGAATAATCACTGCCATAGAAGTGACAATAGAGACGATAGACAATGTTTGTCTGTATGTCTGAACTCAAGAATGTCTCATTTAAATAGTAGAGATCAAATGATTATGACTACATACCACCTAACAAATCTTGGTCACTTACCAACTTGTGGTTAAGACTAAAACACCAAGATAATTGAGAACCACAGAAAATTTTCCATTTACTTGCATTTTCCCAACAAAAGTTAGGCAACATGAAACTGGATACAAAAATAAAGGGTTTGGGTTTAGTGTTATTGTGTCCCGGATCATTAATAGGTACATGACAATGACATACTTAGTTTAGAGTTCTTAACATGTTAATCCGTTAAAACACAAACTTAGTTAATATGTTAAAATTATTGTGTCTATACATTTACACGAATATGTTACATGACATGTTTACTGTAACCCAAAAAAAATGAGTCTCATCTCAGTCCCTCAAAGATTATGCAAGCAAGGAATAAAAAAAATGAAGTACAGTTTTACCTTGGAATATATGCCAAGACTCCCACCTGCCGAACATTTCGCTCATTTCTTTCAATTTGATGACAAGCTTCATCTACGAACTGCAATCCAAGTTTCAAGCTTACAAAAATGAAAGAATATCACTACTATAAAAGTTGATAAGCAAGGATGCAGCTGCTTACACGGCTAAACAGTAGAGATATTTTAGATTCAAGGTCATCAAGCAAGACACGAACAAATCCTGCTGTATCAGATTTCTGACTAGAAATATACCGTTCTGTGATTCCATGCATTGATATGCAACGCAAAGGATCACTCTTGTATGCCCAATCTACCACAGCATGAAAGTCTTCCTAAAGCACATAAAAGAAAAGGAAAACAGGTTCCCTTAGGATATCACTTCATGGTGTTTATAACCAAGGTACACTAAGAAATGGTATTATAGAAAAAAAGAGAAGAACATCACCTGTACTCCATCAAGCAAATCACGTAGTGATTCATTTAGTTCCTCTAGCTCTGCAGGATTTTTAACTGCAACATTGTGAAAAATGGTGTGCATATCACTTTGGATTGGACTACTCAAGGTACAAAAAAGATGGAGAGCCCATGTGAGAAAGGTGTTTCTAAAGATGACATTATAAGCCTATTTTTCATCTTCTTCTAGCCTGATCCCTTCCTCCCTACATTTAAAATACAACACACTTGGCTTTGCTCAGTTAACTGGATTTATAGTCCAATGTCCAAACATATCTTCAATGAGTGTTCATGTTCAACATAGAGACACCAACCTCTTTGTTTACAACTAATGTGCAAGAACTGGGTTTAGAAAAATGAACGATAAAGAATTTACAAATAAGAAGAGAGTAAGTACCAGCTTTCTTATTATGATCATCAAAGTCCATGATGCCTAAATCATCATCATCATCACCATACCCAGTTTTAT